ACTACGTCTTGCTGTGACAAACTAAATACTCCTATGGTTAAAAATCAAAGCAAACTAGAGAACAAGAGAACCATGACTCAAATTCTAAGCAAGACCCTTAGTCGCTTTATCTTTCTGGATCTCAGATTAGGGGTTTATAAGAATGAAGCTACTGCTCCCTACCTCCCAAGATTGAATACATTCAATGAAGATACAGTTCCAGACAGTAAGTATATTTTAAATCAATGCTATTTTGTTTGTGCCTGCTTAGCATCTGGTCTTACAAATCAATGCTTAGAGTTCTTGGAATAGAAATGATAAGCCTTTGCTGCTGACATCCACAAACTTTACCTTTGCTCTTGTCAAGGATTCTGCTCCTCATCTGAGTGTAACTTGGCCATGAGTTCTGCTGTTGTGAGGCAGACCGTACCAACATGGACTGGGTTGATCTTCATACCTAGGAATGGTATAGGGGAAAGAAACTCCCAACCTGCTACATATGTGGCAGGAGTTCATGTTCTCTAAAAATCGAAGAATGAATTTTAAGAACAATGGAGGTGAAGAGCAGAACATGTTCATTGAGAAAAAGTAAGCTTCTGTTGTCTGAGAGAGAGACAGAAGGGACCCTAGTGGCTTGCCAGGAACTTCCCTTTACTAGGGATTTTTTTTTTTTTTTTTTGCCAGCTCAGCCCATCTTGGGATCAGGGTTGGCACCTCATATGGTACTGAAATTGACCTGCAGTCTGTGCATGCTTGCCTAAGCTGGCCTAAGCAGGCTCTTTAGAGGTGAGAAACTGAAAGTGTAAATCAGTGAAAGTGATAGCTCACTGAAAGTGAGCTATCTCACCAGCCCTTCTAGAGATTTTTAATAGATCAAAAGCACGATGTGTGGCAGGTGCAAGGTAAGAATGTGGGAACTTGTAAGGTGGGCATGAGGTGGGACAAAACTATGGTCCACCAATATTACAAGCATAATTGCTCAGGTAAAACTGATTAAATTAGGATCAAGTGGGGAAGTAAGTCACTGCAGTGGATAACTGATAGTCAACTTCTTACACCCAGCTGAACTGTGTGGTGCAGGGTACGGAAGGTCCACGGGAGGATCGTTGCCAGCAGCATAAGAGGCAGAAATGAGCATTGTAGGCAGCTAAGTTTGATAGAACGATTGTAGGCAGTCAGACAATGCCAGGCCCTCAAGGAGACAATATGGAAGATAAAGTGACTTTGCAACTTTGGAAGAGACAGACACCAGCTTTCCACCACACTTCAAGACAAAAGAGTAAACAAATACAGCCACATAGTTCCCTAGGGATGGGCATCAGGGATTGATATTCTAAATAGGTATCAATCACCTTGAAAGAGCCCAAAAGAGTCACTGACCCAACCCCCAACAGAAAGAGACCTGTCCCGTGACTCACTTCCTCATTTGGTCCTGGATTTAATCAACTTTACCTGAAAGCACAATGGTGCTTTGTAATCTCACTGGTTGAACAAAGTTTTGTCCCATCTCATGCCCACCTATCAAGTTCCCATGTTCTCCACCTTAGATCTGCCTCACCATGTGGTTTTACTCTATAAAAGTCCCTGAAAGAGACAGCTTTCCAGGAACAAATGACTTGGGGCCCCCCTTATGTCCTTCTCTTAGACATGAGCTTTCTTTCTCCCAATAAATATATTCCACTCTTAACTGCCATTTGTTCTTAAAACTCATTCTTTGGTTTTAGAGAACATGAACTTATCCCAGGTACCTTTCAGGTCAGGAGTTTCATTCCCCTATATCTTGAGAAGCTTTTGAGAGGCTATTAGAGAAGCTGTTTGGAGAACCTGTTGGAGCTGTTGGAAGGTACTGGTTCTCTTGAGCTATTCTTTCTTTCTTTCTTTTTTTTTTTTTTTTTGTACAGGGTCTCACTACACAGATTGGACGCATAGTGATCCTCCTGTTCCCAGGCTCCCGAGTGCTGAGATTACAGGTGTGCGCCACCATGCCCAGTTTCACCTGCTCAGTGTGTCCTGGGGGCGGGGCCAGCACAGCATGCTGGGGATCCCCTGGCCTCTTTGTTCTGCCTAAGCAGGCGTTTTAATCCGATGAGCTATTCTTTCTGGTTTTTTTGAGGTGAGTGATAACTATTTAGAATGTCGATCCTTGATGCCCATCCCTATGGAGGTACATGGCTGCATTTGTATAATCTTTTGTCTTGAGGCCTGGCCCAAAGGGGAGGTGCCTGTCTCTTTCGCAGTTGCAAGGGTCCTTGTTGGCCCAGCCCTGTGTGACTGCCTATAATAGTTCTACCTAACTCAGCTGCCTACAGCAAGGAGACCCAAAAGTTTTTTGCCACAGAGGCTACTTCTCCAAGCATGTTTTATAGAGCAAAGTCACTAAGTGGGTACATAAGGTGGCTACCATGTGGAGTAGACCGCAATCAACCAATAGGACTTCAAGGATAGCCACTTTGGAAATAGTGATCCAATAGGGAAGCAGGGCACTTAGCAAGGGTAAGATCCTGGATGACCGATACCCATCTGTACTTTACCAGGCCATGTGATACCAATGGCAGTATAATTTGAAGTTACTGTTTATTCCTCAGGGTGACACATAGACCTGGTCATTCTGTTGTAGGCAGCTGAGTTAAACAGAAATATTAGAAGCAGTCAGACAGGGCCAGGCCCTCAAAGAGACACTATAGAAGACAAAATTGACTTTACAACTTGGGGAGAGACAGCACTCCTGCAGTGGGCCAGAGGTCAAGACAAAAGAGCAAACAAATGCATACCTCCCTAAGGATAGACTTCAGAGATTGGTATTCTAAATAGGTCTCTCACCTACAGGACACTAACTCAGTCCCCTACAGTAAAAGCCCCAGTTATGTATTTGTGCCCACCTGCTTCGGGACTCAATTCTTTGGTTCTGGATTTAATTCATTTTATCTAAGCAATGGTGCTTGTAATCTTATTGGCCAACTGTAGTTTTATCCCATCTCATGCCCTCCTGGTAAGTTCCCACAATTCCATCTTTATCTCAAGGCTCGGCCTTTGACAGATGTGCCTCTAGCTGCAGTTGTAAAGTGTTCCCATCTTCTGCACTGATTGCCTCACCTGTCTGAGTGCCTACACCATTTCTACCTCGTTTAGCCATCTATAATAAAAGCACCTGTCCACACAGCTGAGACAGAACACAGCACAGGTAACATCCATCAACTCTTTTTCTTTTTCTTTTTGAGACAGGGTCTCACTATGAAGTTTAGCTGGCTTTGAACTCACTTTGTAGCCCAGGTGGCCTCAAACTCACAGCCATCCTCCTGCCTCAGCCTCCTGAGTGCTGGCATTATGGGTGTGCACCACCATGCGCAGCTCATCTTTTGTTCTGTCCACCCAGCTACCGGGTCCAGAACGTGCTCCCTGCTGCTGTTTTATACCATTCTGGGTGTCTCATTCCTGCCATGTAAGCAATAAGGAAACCGGCATTGAAAAACAAAAACGTAAGACATCCTTCCCATTTCTCATTCACTGACAGAAGGGACCAAGCTAAAATTCACTTCCCTTTTGGGTTGCTCAATTGCAGACTTCAGGAAAGGCAAAATATATATTTGTGTAAGCGAGAATAACATGAGATACAGATTAAGCTGATGTCATAAGAAGTTTTCAACAGTGTCAGCAGAGGTTGCAGGGGTGACTGCAGAAGCTGATAGCTGGCCCTACGTGTGTGACAAATACAGGCATCGGGACAAGGATGCTTCGTTCTGGATTTTAATTTAATTTAATTTTATTTTTTTTGCAGAACCGGGGATTGAACTCAGGCCCTTACACTTGTCAGGGAAGCGCTTATTCCACTGAGCCATCTCCCTGGCCCCTCGTTCTGGATTTTAGAATCTCAGGTATTGACTCACTTTTGTCAAGAAAAATGAAAAAAAATTAGAGCAGTGAAAGAATACTAGACCCCGGAAGCACACTGCGATTGGTTTTGACCTGTATATTCAAATAAATATGGTCGAGGACCTGTAGTCAGGCCAGGTCCCTTGGTTTGTCTCAGTCACCATTTCCAGAGTCCAAAGCAAAAACAGGCTGTGAAACTGGGTTCCCGTTTACCGCAGGAAGCCTGACCTGCAGGCAGGGGGACTCCATCTTCCGGCTGACCTTGTCTGGGGACGCCCCACTTTCTAGCAGGCCCTCTGACCTAGCAGGAGCTGGTGAACAGGGCTAATTCGCCGCGCACTGAAGGCAGGGGTAAAAGAACACAGTTTGCGGCTAGCAATTCTGGAGGACGAGAAGGAGGTTAGGTTTCTCAAAATCCGATTTACATTTCAAAGCGGCCCAGAGGCCCAATAATACTCCCTGCAGGAGCCCCTGGAAAGCCCCTCTCCCCTTTCACCTCTGGGCTGGAAAACACGGTTCCTAGGAGACGGCGCGGGAGAGCCCAAGCGGTTCCCGTGGGCAAGCGGGAGGCGTGGGGGAGGAGCTCCAGGGAACCGCGGGAGGCGAAAGGCGCGGCGCAGGGCGGTGCGGGCTCTGGAAGCCGCGTCCTCCACCCGCCACCTGCAGCTGCCGGGCGCCCCACCGCCTGGGCTCCCGGATCTCCGGGTGGGGGTGGGGCGAGCCTTTGTCCCCATCAGTTCCCACCGAGGTTAAATAGTTTGTGAGTGCAACGCCGCGCCCTAAGCGGTTTACGTCCTTCCCCAAATTCTAGCAATAATCCTGATTTGTGTCATTAACCCATTTCTGAGTTCTGCAAAAGGCAGAAAGAAAACCATCTGCCCTGCTCCGCAGGAGGCGGGCCGGGGCTCGGGTCTCCTAAGCCCAGGCCAGGGCCCCCTAGGGTCCAGGGTTCCGGGACTCCAGGGGCGCACGGCCGCGTCCCACGTGGTCCCACTGGAGAGAAACGCGCGGGTGCACGGTAGTGCGCGGGGAGCCCGTTGTCCCCACCCCGGGCCACCGCGCCACAGCCTCATTCGGTGTCCCCGCCCGAGTGCCCCGCAGCGCCCGGCACGACGCGCCACCTCCGCTCGGACGAGAGGAGGAGCCGCGGCACGGAGCGGGTGGAGTCGGGAGGCGGCGGCGGATTTCCTGGGCCCGGCGCGCCTGGATACCATGGCGTTTGGGAAGGGCCACCGGGACCCCTACGCGACAGCCGTGGGCCACCTCGTAGGTAAGAGGCGCGGGGCGAGACGCCCACGCAGCGCCGCCCGGCCGGCTGCGGGGATCGCGGGCGCCCTTCCGGCCGGCTCCGTGCGCGGCCAGCGGAGGGGCCCAGAGTTGGACCAAGTTGGAGGAAAGCGCCTCCCTTTCCCGTGCAGCTTTCCTAGCGCCCCCGCCATGCACACCGGCCGGGCCCTCAGGTGTTACCGGGTGGACCCACTCTAGAACCCCCTTCCCAAAATGCATCGCCCTGCCCATGCCTTCCGGGGAGGGGACCCAAACAGGTGGCCGGCACAACGCGGCGTGGGGGTTTGCGCCTCTGCCGCGAGGCGGGGGAACGTCTGGCCAAGGTTCGGTCCAGTGTGGACCACAGGGATTTTACTGTTGTGCCCATTTCACAGATGAGGAAAAGAAAAGCTCAGAGGCGTTCATTGTGTGACCTGTGAGATTCCAAACCAGATTTCTCAGGCAACCTCAATTGCATTTCTGGGTAAACCAAAGGAATGCACATGCTTGTTTGGGAATGAAGGCTCCAGGAGTAGGTGCCATGGGGGTCACCGAGGGCGTCACAGAGTCCCAGAGACCAGTGGTCCTCCCCCAGACTCATTTTTCTCTCTCTTGTGGTGTACTGTGGATTATGCACGTAGAAGGTAGTGAGTAAATCTGGGCAGCTCTTCCCTTCCTCTTTTCCCGATTCCTCCCTAGGGACCTGGGTGTGGCCCCAGTGCTTACTAATGCCAGGCAAACTGGGAACACAATGCGGTGCTGAGACCTAGACAACCTGCCCTTGCAGTGCTGAGGAAGCTCTGAAGGGGATAGATTGGTTCACAGCTCAATTAACAGCGGAGGGAGGCAGAACATAGTACTTAACAGAACCGGAGTTTCCACCTCCTTCTGGCCTGGAGAGTAGCGTCAATGCTTAACTGTCCACAGCCTGGTGGGTTATTAGATACGGGATATTATTACAATACCTTTGTCGGTTGTTGGAGGTTAGAGGGAGCCCTGAGCATAACCAGAATGCCATAGGCACAGGAAATGCCAGCGCTGTGTCTGATTCACTCTTCTAATTCTATAAACACTTAACCAACTGTCTTCTGTATACATACCTCAGCCGGGATAGGCACCCCCACCAGGAGAAGGTCGGGTAGGACTTCTAGGGAAGGAACTCATTTTCTGACTGGGAAGACAGAGAGCAAGTGTCGTGGTGGATAGTGTACAAAACCTTTACCACAGCAGAAAAATGTAAAACACACAACACTGAGGAAAAAAGAAGGTGAGCCAGCTGTGGGATTAGAAGGGCGAGTCCTGTTTCCAGGCAGATTAGAAGAGCGGGAGGAGGGAAGAGATAGGAACAGGCAGGGAACATGTGGCAGTAGAAACGGTGTCTACCAGCAGCTGTGGGTCAGCTTGGCCACCCAGGGCCAAATTCAAGTAACTCTCTTCCTAGATGGGAAGGCGTCTAATCTCTGGGGTTTCTCCCCACACGAAGCCCTCTTCTATCTTACTGTTGGCTAATCTTTTTCATTATTTTGTCTTCATTCCCAAGACCCTATATTTGCAAGGATAGAGTTCTTCTCCCTCCTTACAGGAAGATCAGCTGTTCCTTCCTGTTAGGTTGAACCACTTATCTTCCCAAGACCCATTACTGGGTCTTCCCAATAATACTTTATGTGATTATTTAATAATAGAGTTGCAGTTACAAGAACATCTAAGTCTGGTAGGTGTAGCTTTGGGTAATATAAGCAAGAGAAAGGATCCGTTCCCTTTTTCCCTCCCTCAGTAAATAGTTTTTGAAAGCAAATACTGGAATCAAGTAACCTCTGTTTGAGTGCAAGTTCTACCTCCTATTATGTAACCTTGAATAGTTTCCTTAACCTCTGCTTGTTTTTGTTTCATTGTTTCTCGAAGAGATGGGTTCATTGAGATTGCAGGAGATAAACTATTTAGCACTATGCCACTCATCTAGTAGGTGGCGGCTGCTTCTCCTTCTCCTTCTCCTTCTCCTTCTCCTTCTCCTTCTCCTTCTCCTTCTCCTTCTCCTTCTCCTTCTCCTTCTCCTCCTTCTGCTTCTCCTCCT